CAATATAAACAATAAACGAACACAGAAATGTACGAAATATATATAATACATACGAAACAGTATGAAAATCCGTAACGTCCGCTACTCTAAATTACTATTATCTATGTAAACAGGAAAAAGAAAAACTCATACAACCAACTGCCCAGTGTTCGTAATTCAGGCACACTTAAAAAAAAAGAATATGGTTTTAAAATAAAGTTAAAAACATTGACTTACTTAATTATATGGACGTCGGGTCCGCGCTAAAAAGTGTCCGAACTTATAGGGCGTTAAAATCGTATACAGAGCGTCATTCACGCTCTAGTCTTCGTTTGTTCGACTGACAGCGAAGCAAGCAAAATTAGACCGTACTGCGATGACATTACAATTTAAATTCAACGTTTTAGCTCTTTCATATTCCTTGATATGTCATTACGTTTAAATAGGTCGACTTGGGACATTTTTTTCGTGGTTTTTGTATTAGACCCGTCGTCCATTTATTTGTAAGTCAATGGTTAAAAACTTTAGTTTTTCGTTATTTTTGTATTTTCGTCGCGAAAATGAATTCTAATGAGAAGTACGATAATGATAAATAAAGTGCCTAATTATAACACATTCAACCATACTATATAATAATAACAATTTCCTTTAGCAATCTGTCATACACCTTCCTTCGTCCATACTCTTTAGTTTTTTATTATTTCCTCAAATTGTTTGAGAAAAGCACCATATAAGCCTCGGCGGGAACGGGGATTGCTTGACCGTATTAATACAAGGCCTCGTTAGTGCTCGTCCTAACTCAAACTCGTTCAGAAATCCCTTATTTCCCGACCTCTGCAATAAAGTACTATAAAGAAAATAATAATTGATAAAATTTTAACTGGCATTTTGTTATTCTTAATTACATAAGTACCTTTTATAACTTACGTAAGGCAATGGCCAACAATTGCTCGTTCATCGGTTGTTGTATATTTGGTGATTGCAACGTTCCGCCATATTTTTTTTTCCCACGGATGAAACAAGTCCAATCCCCGAACCCTATTTTAGCAGATGTTAACTAATAACTCACACGTTCATACACTCATAGCCCCGCACTAAAGAGACACTGTATCGCGGGTGCCCTAGACACATACGACATAGACAACAACAAATTACACCCAAACTCACGTGAGAAATAAATGTAAAAGAAACAAACCAGTACCTGGCAGACCAGGCATAGTAACTGTCCGGCCACGGCGGCGGTTAATAAAAATAAATAAACTGAAAGAATACTTTCCAATGAGAAACAATAGACGTAATCAAATAATTAAAAGAAATGTTGGATCTTTCTTTACTAGCTGGATAACTGACTTGGCTTGAACATTTCCCGCGTTTAGTGTTGACGGACGAAAATATTATACGAAAATGTCCAATATCGAGCATTGTCAGACGGCTGATTTGCAATATTGTATTTGCAAGAATTCTCGTAAACATTCTACACGATTTCTTACACAATGGTATCGTCTTACAGGATTTATCATCTATCAGGATTTAGCTCACGAGTACGAAGGCGGTTTGATAAATACGTGACTTTAAGGTTAAATAAAAACTTTTTTCCGAATTTATTTTTGTTCCTTAATTTAGAACTCCTTACTTTTTTAAACTTAGAGCGAAAATATAATGGAAAAAAAAAATAGAAAATAAAAAGATAAGTAAGGTATAAGAGTGAGATAGATATATTTTTGGAAATGAAGAAAATGGAGTTTCGAGTATTCCGTTTGTCATCTGCAATCAGAACATCAAAACTTATCGAATTATGATACGAACTTAGAATAATAACGCATAGAAACCTAGTCCGCACACGCTAAGTGAGGCAAATTGAAGCGCTCCCAAAGGACCTACACGAGCGGGCGGGCCTTCAGTGCTCAAGGTCAACTTGCACCGCGATCGGCTCTAGAATTTTAGCTAAAAATGACGAAATGTGCGGTAAATGAGTGTAAAAATACGTCAGATAAACATAAAATACATAGATACTAACATCACATTCCACGAGGAAGTAACGCGTTTCAACTTTATTTACGTATTTTTATATAAATATTCACTAAAACCGAAAATTAACCTACTACTAAAACTAGTCTACATGAATTTGATTCTTGCCTCACTTGTGACAGTTCGTTTGATATGAAACTATCATTATATGCGTTATTATTCTAAGGATACGAACGAATGCCACACCCCAAGTATTCACCAGATTTGGCCACATTTGACATTTTTTATCTGATTTTTACTAATTAGCATCAAATGAATCGAGATTTATTTTTCTGTTAAAAAAATATTTTGTTAGATTGAAGAAGTTGGGATATCGCGGTCACGGTTTATATAGGTAGTCAAAAGAAGATTACGTAGAAAAATAAACCATAATTTCATATAAAAATGTTTTTTTTTCTTCTCAAAGTCGTACCAAACCGGCCTCGTATATTCTTATCCGAAAAAGACAAAATACGGAAAATTAGCTTACATCTACGTTATAACACGGCATGAACAATTTTTCTGTTCATTTTAAAATGGCATTCGATAAAAACTTATTCCTCGAAGTTGCCTCATTACGCGATCAATTTATAACTAAGTTACTACGAATTAATTCAACAAAGATGACAAATCTGATAATGAAGAGATGGCGGTGAGCTTTTAAGATGTTTTCGTCAATTATAAATTATAAGCTTGTCTTGAGCACTTAACTGCTATTAAAGTGGTGACAGGTACCCTCATAACGAAGTTATACACGCCATTTGAAATGTTTAGAAGAAAAGTTGTAGAAAGCAGGGACTGAGAGGGCACTGACGAAAGATTATTGAAGTTTAGACGTTAATAATGAAATAGATGGAATTTAATTGTGATTTAATTGTGTCGCCTCTTTGTTTAACTGAATTATTGTTCGTTGCCTACGAACTTGCTGTTTCGGTAATAATTTTTTTCTTGTTAAAGTGGATTTTTGGTGTATGGAATCATGAAAAGTTGTGAATTAAAGTACATAGGTAAATATCGTTGAAATTAGTGCTATATTTTATACTTCGTCTTCTTCTTTTTCATTTCACTCTTGGCAGAGCGGTTGTGGTCATCACGGAGTATGTTTGTTAGGACGCGCTCCCATTATGTCGTGACTACAGGTAGTCGTGTAGTTTTCAATTTCAACTACCTTGTGGCCGAACGGTTAGCATGCTTGACTGCCACGCAGAGGTCTCTGGTTCTATTCCCGGGCCGGGAGAACTATTTGTAAGGCCTATATTTATTTAACTCGTGAGTTTAGGTGTAATTTGTGGTTGTCTATGTGCATGTCCATGACACCCGCGACACAGGGTTTCCCTAGTGCGGGGCTATGATGAGCGTATGCGTTATATTATTAAAAAAAATTAAAATGTCGTGAGTTGTATGTAAATGAAGTTGTTCAAGTACAACACGATTAACTGTCGTTCACGCCTATTTTGACGTTACGACGACAGACTGTCAAGACAATGGGAAGACCTAGAACGACAGTCGTCCGGCCATAAATAAAACGTTACGTAAAAATGTTCACGTCACGTTTTATTTGTCGTTGTCTGCACGTTCTGTGCATCAAACGAATCTGTCGTGCAAACGACAAGGCGGCTGCCGTGAACAGCGAGACACGACAGTCGTCACAACGATGAAAAAACGTCCATAACACAGTCAAGACAGACAGTCCGGATATGGGAACAGGCAAAAAGCGACAGTCGTCCAACGATAAATAAAGCGTTGCGACATAATGGGCCTCATATTCATCTATATATCTCGCAATCTATCCCGTATGTTAGTGGACTCTCTCATGCACTCAAGCAAAGGACCCAATGCAGGCTTCATTTGGTCGATCCATCGCTTGAATGACCTTCCGCGCAGTCTAGTGCCCTCTACCTTGCCCACTACAAGTGCCCTTATACTTTGTACCAGGGTTTTTGCTGATGCAGGTTTCTTACACATCAGTTGATGCTCATTGTTTGACCGCAACATCAACGAATGCTCATGCGGTTGCTGATTTTATGAATTTAAAACAACGCGAAACATGTACACAATCTATCTACATTAAAAATGAGCATTAATAGTTTTAAAGCAAAATATAAATCAACATTATTTCGACAACTTGCTGCAGACGACAGAACTTGAAGCATGCTTACTGTAAAACTCCGAAAATAGTAGAATACTTTTGACACAAATCCTTAAGATAAATAACCATTGAAATAATAAAACACATAACGCTCACGCACACGTACACACAATGTCGAACTACATAAACTTTTACTTGTATTTCTTTTCCTTTTTTTTAGACATTAATTATTATTATGCCAATAACTATATAATCTTACGTGCATTTGTTATTTGGGATATAGTTACGAGCTAGTATATAAGAAACAGATATCAAATTAGAGCCATCGTAGTAATGACTACCGCTCAACACCATAAGGGAGTAGGCAAAAGCTGAAGACGTCACGGTAATATCGCCGTTTCAGCATAAGCTGAGCATACATCTTTTGTCTCAACTTACTTTTACTGTTTTGACTTCTTTGCTATGTATACATATTTTTTTTAAGTTATTCTGAGACAATAAACGATTTCTTTATTTAAAAAGCTTTCTATTTCCTATGGTGTTCTAATAAAATATTCTTTCAATAATTTATTACACCATAATATAACTTTTTTTAATAAAAATCTACCTCAATAGTTCGTGGAATCACATCTATTCGCCAAGTTTTTTTGAAATCGGTTCCCGTAAAGTGAGCAAAGCCCGATTCATCAACCTTCGAATTCAAAATGGGACCAATACTCAGGTCATTCCAACAAAAAAAGAATTTCACAATTGCCGAAGTAATCGGGTAAGATACACACAAAAAAATCCTCCTTCTTTTGTGAAATCTTATTGATTTCAAAAAATCTTTCTAATGATTGTAGTAAGAAGAATGGTAACGTACGTAACGCATGCGCGCGTTTCAATTGTAACCACTACGCATGGTTTCCATAGAGACAGTGGCCCAACAAAACTTACACAGTTTACAGGTACTCGCAAAAACAATGCCCAAAGCAAAAACTGGAGCAGTATGGGAGGACCGGGAAGTGCTTTTCGACCTGCCTTTTTCGTAAGAAACATTTAATTTGCATAATGCCTTGAATAAATCTTTGGAGCTACCGTTCCACCAAAGAGCACTGATAGATAACAGAGCTAGAGGACAATATATTAGTGGACGGAGCGCAATGGTTCCAAGCTGCGAGATTTGTACTATAGTTTTAAGAGTCGAAAGTACCTCACCTCGAATTAAAATTTTTACCGTACTAATAAGGTACATTTTGCATAGGTCGAGCGGCAGTGGTACTGGCTTTATTTCAAAATTTTTTTTTACAATCGCAATTAAAACCATTAGAAAAATGTATATAGTAGCATACGCGTTCTATTATCGATATAGTACCTATTGAAAACAGCGGTTTTATTGTGAAATTTCGAAGTAAATGTGTGTTTTTTCTGTCGCGAAAATTTTTTGGAATTGTGTTTTCATACCGTACAACAATCAGTGTATATCATCAATTTTACTATATACTTTTTCGAAAGTGATTGATTCAACATTTTCGCTGTTATACGGCATCAACCAAAGCTATTTAAGATAGTATACACACTCTTGAGAGTAATTATTTCACAAAACGACCAGGCAATGCTGTTATATCCTTGCCCTGCATAATGTATCTTGTCCTCTAGTACTTTACATTCCCGTAAAACTGTATATACAATAAAATGGACAATTTCACTTTCTTAGATATTTGAGACTGAGACCAAGTGAAAAAATTTTCGACCGAATAGAGCCTATCGAAGACACCAAAGGCAATAGCGGTACGAAAGGACGGATGGTTATCACCAATCTAAGAATTATTTGGCACTCTCTGTCATCACCACGGATTAATTTGTGTGAGTAGAAATGTGAATGCTATTAGCCTGTAATAACAAAGGCCGATCAGGCCGTCTGGCATTGCTACGTAATGCAATATTTGCTGGAATTATCTCTACGTGAACGATCCATGACAGGCGGGCATTAATGGATAAGCTGGGTAAATGGCCGACGCGTATTCGTGCTCGAGACGCCTAAAGAGGAGAATATAGTGTCGTCGATGACAACAGTTCGAAACTTGTAAATGAACCAAAATTGGTGAAAATTTCCCCTTTTTCCCAAACAACCTTATGAAAAAGGTATATATTTAAATGATTATTTTAAATTTGCTAAAGCAGCAGACATAAAATCTAAATAGTCGTCTTTTTTAACGATTGATCCCTTTTCTCCGAGACACAAAATAAATTCAATCAATGTATATTTTAATCTAATCTGTTTTGTATAAATTAACTTGGTTAGTTTCATGTTGAGCCTCAAAACTAAAACAAATGAGCATTAAAAACTTGAAACCATGTTCGGAAATGAAAACAAATTTGCTTCTTCTGCTTTTTTTGCTTCTTTTACTTACCTACTGGAAAGGAGGGCGCAACATGGGCGCAACCAACCTTTGCCCCATATGAAAAAAGAAGATCAAATATTATTTTTTACTATCAAATCATTGACTTACAAATAAATGGACGACGGGTCTAATACAAAAACCACGAAAAAAATGTCCCAAGTCAACCTATTTAAACGTAGTGACATGTAAAGGAATATAAAAAAGCTTTTAAATTGTAATGTCATCGCAGTACTGTCTAATTTTGCTTGCTTCGCTGTCAGTCAAACAAACGAAGACTAAAGCGTGAATGACGATCTGTATACGATTTTAACGCCCTATAAGTTCGGACACTATTTAGCGCGGACCCGACGTCCAAATAATTGTAAGTCAATGTATCAAATATTAATTTAGTACCTATGCCTGAACACAATGATAGTGTAACCTTGAATACAGTTCATTGAAATTTTATCCGTAGATTAACTAATATAGAAGGAACTGTTAATATACAGGGTGTAAATTACGACGGGGCAGCAAGGCCAATCACCTTAATCGTTATAGTTACCGGAAAACGGTTCCAGAAGACTATTCATGAATTTTGTGAAGATATTTTGATTGGTATTCACAGATTTTGAAAAAATGGTATAGTCAGCAAGATAAAAGACAATTTTTCAAAACTTTTTTTTATGCCATTGAATCCGGTCTCTGTTAAGGATCAATAATCTCTGTGGGACCAATTGAGGTACTCGAAATGTCAGAAATCGCAAAAAACTTTTTATCAAACTTTTTGTAGGGACATATTTAGTAGTTAGTTATTCTAGGTTAAGGAAACTAACAAAATTGACAACCTATTATGTATTTCAAAATAAAAACAATAACAAAAAGCAAAATAACATAAAAAATGTATGATAGTAAGTGCTCGAATTGATTGCCGCCTTGGCGGATGCATCGATTCGTTCTCTTCCGCAAAGAGCAAGTGGCGGCTGAAATTTTACTCGGATGGATTCCATTGAAAGTTGCTGCAAGTGCGTCTTTCAATTCTTGAGCACTGTTGTATTTTTCTATAAATTTCATTTATCTAATACATAATATGTTGTCAATTTGTTAGTTTCCTTAACTACCTAGAATACCTGATTACTAAATATGTCCCTACAAAATGTATGGTAAAAAGTTTTTTGCGATTTCTGACATTTCCAGTACTCTTACCTCAGTTGGTCCCATAGAGACTATTGATCCTTAATAGGGACCGGAACGAATGGCATAAAAAAAGTTTTATACAAATTGCCTTTTATCTTGCTGACTGTATCATTTTTTCAAAATCTGTGAATGTCAATAAAAATATCTTCAAAATTCATGGATAGTCTTCTAGAATCGTTTTCCTGTAACTACAACGATTAAGGTGGCTGGCCTTACTGCCCCGTCTCAAATGTACACCAAACATAAAAAAATGTCGTTTATTTAAGAAAGTGCATATTAATTAGATCAATTATATCTTTGACGATCAAATAATATTATCCCTTTAAAAATCAACTGTGTACGTCGGCAACGATTTTATATCAGATTTAAGTACAAAGCGCCGGCGCGATATTTTGAAAAACATTTGCTATAGGAGTACCTATAATAAGCTAAACTCATGTCCTTAGTAGCGCCAGTGGCATGATGCATTAATGCCTATTTTACAAATTGATATTACCTTGGTCTTAGTAATACAGATAAGAATATAAAATTGTTTAGGGTTATTTGTGTCCTTTATTTTTATTTATTTATATACTCACACCTTTAGATTCCCATCGGGGTAAGCAGAGACTATCGATTGCCACTTAGCACGATCCTTACAAACCTCTCTTGCTTCGCTAACATTCATCAATCTTTTCATAAATGCCTTCTTATTCTTTTCACCACGAACTCCAGCCTTTTAAAGAACAATCTCAATTTGATCAGAGTACTTTTTTCTTTGGCCGTCCTCTTCCAATGATTCCTTCTACGTTAGGTCTATATATTTCTTTCGTTAATCTACCTTCATTCATCCGCTCCATGTGCCAAAACCAACTCAGCATACCCTTTTCAAACCACATTTTTCACGGACCACAGCATTCCTCACTCTGTCACACAACCGCACACCACATATTCCTGTGAGAGGTTTCATTTCAACTGCATTCTCTCTACTCTCATGCTTCTTCTGCCACATTCCAACACTCACTCCCATACATTAGCGTTGGAACCAACACATCATTATGTGCTGCCATTCGTGCTTTCTCAGATGTAGACTGGCTGCACGTCATTCCCTTTATGGCCCCATTCACCGCATTTCCCTATTTTACTCTTCTATCAACTTCTTTCTCATCTTATTTTTAACTATAAAACCACTGCGTTAAAATACTTCACCACAATTCTGGCCGAGCCCCTATTCAATTTCTGTTTAAGGAAGTATGATGACCCAAAATGTTTCGACTTATTACATCGTGAATAAAACACCGAGCTGTCTATTAGTTACAATAATCACGTGACAACATTGGGTCGGTGAACGGTTTGTCGGCTTCGCGCGACAGTTACGCCTTACATTTTTAAAACACTATCTTCTTGATGAAATAGGTATTTTTCTAGAATAGTTCTAGACTTAAAGGCAGAAATCCTCAATTTAACAAGCGTGACAAATTTCAAATTGCTTTACTTAACATTCGCTGTGTCAAAAAAAAGCCATAAACATGCATAGATGTTAGTCAATACTTCCACAGTTGAAGGGGTTTCGGTTTTGTACAGGAATAGCTCGATAAAACAACGCCTCATTATTTCACACTGATATCTAGCGTCGTAATGGTGGGAGCGGGCGGACCTTTCTTTAATAAACGTCGCAATTTCATAACTCTACTTTGTCACAACTTAATAAGGGTCATTTTGTCGAAATAAACACCACCTGATACTTTTAAAAGCAAAAACTCCATACTTATGTTGGAAATCATTTTATACAAAGAAAGCGTACAACTAACACTCCATGATTAAAGGTCAGGGTTTCCATTATGCCACAAAGCAAAGACAAGATGTCGTTGCGGGCTGCAACACTCAACTTGATAACGAACAATATCGATTTTGTTCCCATCCCACCTCTATTACCGATATTACTCATCCCTGACTCTATGAATACAATCAACATGAATTCTCTTGAACCTTTTATTCTTTGAAAGGCATCTTGTCAAAACGTCGGTTTCCCAAAGAAAGCAAATTCTCGTAAAGTCAAAGTAGACTAAAATTTGAAATATGAATAACTACACTCTACTACAGTCTATGGTATATTTAGGTTGCTAGGCAACCAATTGACTTACAAATAAATGGACGACTGGTCTAATACAAAAATCACGAAATAAATGTCCCAAGTCAACCTATTTTAAACGTAGTGACATATAAAGGAATATGAAAAAGCTAAAACGTTGAATTTAAATTGTAATGTCATCGCAGTACCGTCTAATTTTGCTTGCTTCGCTGTCAGTCGAACAAACGAAGACTAAAGCGTGAATGACGCTCTGTATACGATTTTAACGCCCTATAAGTTCGGACACTTTTTAGCGCAGACCCGACATCCATATAATTGTAAGTCAATGTAGGCAACGTTTTGTTGTATCACACAAAAAAAAACAACTACATAAAATTAATCCTTTATAAAATGGAGTTAAGTAAACAAACGTTGCCCTTTTTAATAAATGTAAACATGAAAACAAATTTAATTATATTCACAATGTCGATACTTAAGACATTACTTAAGACATTACTTAAGATGTTTGCGTAGTTACAAAAATAAAAGCAAATGATAAAAAAATATATTAAAGGTAGGTACAGAATCGAGTTTTTAAGTTTTCGCGATTGTTACACATAGGAAATTAAACTATTTTTCCGGATTTAAATCGCGTATATTTGTTTTTCAAACAAACCAACGTTTCGGGCCCTTTCCAGGTGCCATGGTCATGCGTAACTAGGTTAGTTTCCATTTATTCTATAGAACGTGGCATCATCATTTGACTCATGATCACGGTTGAGCCATGGGATCTGTAAAGGGCCAGAATCGTTCGTTTATTGGAAAAAACAAATATAAGCGATTTAAATCCGGAAAAATAGTTTCATTTCATATAGGTACAGAAATTAAATTATTTACCAAGTCACTATGTTGTTTATATTTTTAGTTTGCAATAACTCTGGCAAATGGCGAATTTGCTATCACAATACGCCGTGAAAATGTTGCTGCTTGCCAAAAATAACACTTTACGCACCAGATAGGCATTTTTTACGCCATCGTCCCAATGAAAATTTTATTAAGTGTTATTAAGATATGCCGCTACTCCAGAAAGCCGTCGACGTACCACCGTTTTTAATAATGTCAGGAATAGGAATAATCAAAGGTTGACCGGTATTTTAGTATTGATCCCTTTTGTACCAGACTTCTAAAGCATTTGTAGTTCTGTAATACTCACCGTAACAACGGAATATCTCTGCTGTAATATTGCTTACCCGCCGAGTTATAAATAATATTGGAAACTCCCAAATGCTTTGATATTTAAGGCTTTCTTCTGGACGGACAGATAGGTACGGGTAATCAAATTTGGTGGTGAAACGATTGTTTTGTATTGTCAAGCAATGGCACGATATTGATTGGAATCTCATAGAATACTTAGTTCTTTTTTGCTTTTGTTAACTGCAACAACATGTATGTTCCTGCATTTCCGAGGTAAAAGGTTTACTGACAGGATAATCCAATTCAATTTAGGATTTAGTATAAACATTCTATTTAGTTATTAATCGACTTCACATAAAGGAAAAATTCTCTATTCGAGTGTATTCTTTTCTGTGTGTATGTTACGCGATTTTGGAACCGATTTTGATGATTCTTTTTTTTTGTCGGAAAGTGGGCACCTCATTATTTGTCCCTTAGAATAATAACGTATAGAATGATACTTTCATTTCAAACGAACTGTCACAAGTGAGGCAAAAATCAAATTCATGTAGGCTAGTTTTAGTAGTAGGTTAATATTCGGTTTTAGTGAATATTTATATAAAAATACAAGTTGAAACGCGTTACTTCGATGTGGAATGTGATGTTAGTATCTATTTTATGTTTGTCTGACGTATTTTTACACTCATTTACCGCACATTTCGTCATTTTTAGCTAAAATTCTTGAGCTGTTCGCGGTGCAAGTTGACCTTGAGCACTGAAGGCCCGCCCGCTCGTGTAGGCCCTTTTGGCGCGCTTCAATTTACCTCACTTAGCGTATGCGGACTAGGTTTCTATGCGTTATTATTCTAAGATTGGTCCTATTTAAATTTGAAAAAAATATTCCACCTCTAAGCGTAGCAAAGTAGAGGATGAATCCGGTTTCGCGCACAATAAGACTTAGCAAATAGATGTCATTCCACCAAAATTTTTAGCTTGTATTTTCCTCTATTCCACTAAGTTTAACTATAATTTCAATCAGTAATTGAACTTCGACACACGCTACTCCAGCAATATGTTACGTCGTACGTTTACTCAGGTATTACGCTGAGAACATAATTATTACTTCGACATTACTCAGACACTACGCTACGTTGCGTCGCAACACAGACGAGATGTTTCTTAAAAAAATCTTTGTACTCGCATAAGAAAAATCATCATTACAAACCCATGTAGGAAGTGGTTTCTTATTATATATCGATCAATATAACAAAAAAAATCATATAATCCAAAAATTATTTTATTAGTTATGTGTATAAAGTGTAACAAAAAATTATTAAATTAAAATATTAGAAAATATAGTATTTCATGTATGTAAATACATGAAAATATATATTTTTTTATCGAGGGTCTAAAACAAGTCAATTTTGTCGAAAGCGCCATTTCAAAAAAAATTATGGTGAGCACGTTTGCAGCTTTAACGACTATTTCAAAATAGTTACGTAATATAGAACAGTAATTTAAGTGTATTAGAATGAGCAAATGTATAAAAAAAAATATTGTGCAGGTTTCGACGAAACACAAATTTTGAATTTTGATTTGTGAATGGAGATAAAAGTCAAAAGGGCATGTTAAATCCATGAGAAAAATAATGAATAGATTTTTTTTTTAAAAGAAAAAGAATTACGTGCGTACAAAAGACTACTCCGCTGTGGTAGAGAGTCAATATTCTGCCTAGTCTATTCTAAGTTTTCTAAGGGCGCCTACAAATTAGACGCTTATAGAAGCACCGCAGCGACACCACAGTGGCGCTGCCAACGCGCCACTACTTTTTTAATAATAATAACGCACACACTCAACATAGCCCCGCACTAGGGAAACCCTGTGTCGCGGGTGCCATGGACACACACATAGACAACCACAAATTACACCCAAACTCACGAGAGAAATAAATGTAGGCCATACAAATATTTCTCCCGGCCTGGGAATCGAACCCGGGGACCTCTGCGTGGCAGTCCGGTATGGTAACCGTTCGGCCACGGAGGAAGTTAAAAGTACTAATTTTCACACAATGTTAAAAAGCGCAGTTAAAGCGCCACTGTCGTGACACGCATGCGCTACTTTTGCAGTTACAATCAATGAACTAAAAATTAATGACGCGCTACAGACGCCACAGTCGCTCCATTGCAACTGTAGCGCTTCTATAATAGAAGCGACTAATTTGAAGGCGCCCTTTTAAAACTTAGAATAGACTAGGCGTAATATTGAGTCTATACCAAAACGCATCTGTAGTCATATTTAAGCACGTAAATCTTGTTCTTTTTTCAAAATTGACTATTGAATATGTTTCTTATAGATTTAACATGTTGACTTTAACAAATCGAAATTCAAAATTAGCTCTTCGTCACAACCTGCACAATTAGATTTTTCTTATACGAGTTTCAAACTTCATGCGTATATCGGTTAGAACTAAACGAAACATTCTCGATCAGTAATTGTTTTATCTATATTATTAATTGTATAAATTAAAAGAAACATGCTTCCCGGTATTGCTTGCGAAATAACTCTTGTGAACATTTTCATCTAAACATCGACAAAGACTGTAACATTGGCCTGCTGGTGGAGACAGGTAATTCCATACTTTGAACGAGGCATAATTAAAAGCAATCCCGGGCGGCAGCCAATGACATGTTCGTCTTTTTAATCAAGTAGTGGGGTAGGGGTGGTAGTGGGGTACCCACACATCTTTAAGAACATTCTTCGTGAAAATAAAGTTTATTCTATCTTACGACGCCATTGGTATTGTATACTGTTTCTAGCTAAGAACACAAAAATTGATCTTGTAACAAATTGTTGAGAAATTGCCGTTTTGAGAAGTTGCCCTTCAGAGAATAAAGAAATAAATATCCAGCTTTTCACTTCGACTGAGAAATTAAAACAATAATACATTTTTTAAAACAAATTACAAAGACCACTTTCGCGCCATTGGAGATTTTCATTTTTTTTTTCTTAATTCATATTCGTATTCAGGACACAAAGGCAAAAAGAATTTAGGTTTTTTATCACGCCGCGATTCTTAATGAAAGTCTTCTGTAGGTCCAGTTAATTTTTTGTTATGAGTCGTGTCAATGGCTGTTTTTTATTTTTCTAGTGCTAAAGAGTAAAAATAAATTATCCTGTAAAAAGGCGAAGTTATTTTTAAAGTTGTGATTGTTCATTATACAGCCATCGGCCTCAACTGCGTGGTGTCAACAAGCACGAAAGTAGTCAATTCTGGTCTGCGAGGTACTACACAAGCTTTATACGTACTGGCTGCTTACAAGATCAACCGCTATGAATTCATTTTCACAAACCTGGCACCGAACTGCGTCAGGCATTATATGTCTGTCGTTGGCGTACATAAGTAAGTTGCGATTTTTTAGAAAACCACTTTTAAAATTTTCTTCTAATTTCAACGTCAGTATACTTCACATTACGACCACAGAAACTATAAAAAATTAAACTTTAAAAACTTTAAGATAAAATACGCTGACGTTGAAATTGGGAGAAGATTAATAATAAAATTACTGGAAACAAAATACATTTAAAAGATATTTAAATAACAAAATTAAACTTTTATCAACAGGACAAATTGGTACGATTTTCAGAAATATGGCAAATTTTAATTTAACAACATTTATAGGTACAACTCTAGACTGAAAACTCATTCACAGAACTAGTGGGAGAGAAAATTCTCAGTAGTTCTCTGAAGAAAACTGTCTATTTATCAACAGGACAAATGGGAAGAAAACCCTTCGGACTGTTGGTTCGACTAGCTAGAGGGTCCAGTACGATTTTGAAGTAGGTATTGATGTCCCCACTTAGATGGTGGAACCAACGTTCTTAAAGAGTACCAATAGTGCTGTCAAGAGAACTGTACAACAGAACTAGTGGGAATAATGGAAACTAACGGCCTTATACTACACAATACTTATTGAGGATTTTTTTAAATAAAACGCAGATTTTTTTACAGCTTATATTCATTTATTTTCCTTATTTGAAAGGTAATTATTGTAATAATTAAGTATGTGTGTATGTATTCTACTATTAAAATACGGGTACGAGGGTACGGTGCAGGTCGCCAGCAACACTCAAAGGCTAAACCAACACTTTTGAACATTCTCATTTTTTCTAGAGCGTACGCGGGTTCAAGAATGTACAGAGATTTGAAGCTTAGAGGAGCTATAATTAACAACAAGCAGTTACAAATGTTACCACTTGAAAAGGTACGAAGTGGTGGGTGGGTAGGTTCGAAGTGAAACAGAGCAAATTACTAACAGAGATAAATAGATTTTTCTCTCACACGCTTCGCACTTTTCGTGCTGCACTACACTTTCAGTTATGTACGTAATTGTCTATGCACTAAACTACGCTTTACTTGTTTGTGTGTCGTATGGTGACTGCAAAGTAACAAAGTGTGCGTAGTAGATAGTAGTAGTCGAGCAGAACTGGTTTTATAGTTTTGGCGTAAGTAAGCGAAAAGTGATTGAAATAAATAAAAATTAAAATAAATAAAAAACATAATATGTACGTACATATTTTCACGCATCCCGCTACTGTTATTTTTAACTACATTTCAAAAAAGGTATACATACTTACATTCGAAACTTCACACCCCTAAGCTTCTGTAATGTTACGAACTAAAAATTTTCATTATTAATACAAAGACGGAACAAACACAAAGATAAATTCCTTCAATCCAGCTTCCTTCAATCCTTCAATCCACCTCGCATCAAAACACCTCTTAAATCGAATAACTTTTTTCTTACTGTTTGATCTTTGTATTAATAATAATAACAAATTAGTGCAGTATTTTTAAAGAAAATAGGTGAGTATCATAGTATCGATTTCTTAGGTTTTCGCGATTGTTACACATAGGAAATGAAACTATTGTTCCGGATTTAAATCGCGTGTATTTATTTTTTCAAACAAACCAACGTTTCGATAAAGGGCCCGAAACGTTGGTTTGTTTGAAAAAACAAATATCATATCATAGTAGTAAAAGCATTACGATATTCAGTAAAATACGCATCATTTTTTTTATTTATTTGTTGTTGTTATCTTGAGTACGATGCGATCCTAGAAGCTGTATGATCGCATCATTTTGCTATACTGTGTACAGGTATTTCTCATAATCCACAGTTAACTTAAAAATTCGTTCCAAACTCTTGGGATCTATTCTGGACACGTATTATTCAAAATTCTTGTTTTCTTTATTTACAACTTTGTGTCCTATGACACAAAGTTTATTATAACAAAATTTGTTAACCTGTGTTAACAAATTTTGTTATCATCGCACATCTCTGTTTCTGAGGTTTTCTCAGCATATTTTCTTTATTTATTTACCAGCATTTAGCTTTGATAACACAATTTCGGTCCAAGCCGGTCACGGCCCCCTGAAAATCTAGAAATGTAGTAAGAATTTGTTCTGTATGTATATTGATACCACATATTGACTAGATAAATTATGTCTACTTCTTTTCAGATTTCTCTTCATGAACAAAGTATTTGGAACCTATCCAGTGAGTCGGGCCATCTCGGCACAATGATTGTCACTAACATTAGAATTGTTTGGTACGCTGACATAAACCATGGTTTCAATATTTCTATGCCATACATTACCATTGAAAGTGTGAGTCATTAGATTTTTTTACAAGTATCAGTATTTTGTTTTACTGGCGTCAATATTTTATTTTAATGGCATCAGTA